AACTATCGTGGGTTCAGTATAAGATATTCTGAACCTTGGGATACTTTACGAAACCATGAACCGTTTCGTATCACTTGGACCGAACCTTTAGTGACTTTATGAAACCATCGAGAGTTCAGTATAAAATGTCGGAAACTTTGGGGAGCTTTACGAAACTATCAGTCGTTTGGTATTACTTGGCCCAAACCTTTTGTAAGAGTACGGGACCATCTAGGGTTCAGTATAAATTCTTCTAAGCTTTTGGAAGCCCTACAAAACTATCAATCGTTTCGTATGAAATACTCGGAACTTTCAGATGGTCTACGAAACTAAGAATAGCTTAGTACAAAATCGACGAAACCTTCACTTGGGTTTGGAAATCAACAATAGTTTCGGAATGTACTGCGAAACTATCAGAGGTTTCAGGTGTCTCAGACGAAACTTTCAGATAGTTCTTTCTGAGTTTTACCGAACTTTATAAAATCTACTGAACTTAAAAAAGTTCAGCATGAAATCACGAAACGATTTTTTTTTCTGCTAAACTTAAAATCGTTCGGTGAAACAATGGGAAACCTTTAAAGTTCAGTAAAAAACCTATTTTTTTTAGAGTGTACTGTATTTTAATGTATGTTAATGCATATTAGTGTTTTTTAATGTTTTAATATGCGTGCTATATTTTATGTTGTTGTAGTTGTTGGCATGGTTGTTGTAGATAAAGAAGAATTAGAATGAGACAAGATAGTGTTACAATGATCAGAGAAGACTTTTTTTTATAAATGTAGGTGAGAAAGAAAGATATATGAAAAAAACAAAGGACGGTAGATGAATAGAAGAAATAAATACGCTAAAAGGATTTTTTACAAAGTTGTTTGGGATAGATAATATCGTTAGATACTTTACATTAATTGTGATAGGATGCATTTTTTTACAATCAGTAGATTAAGTCAAAGAGAATAGGTTTCACAATTACTAAGTATCGGGTGAGGCACAGATTTGGATAATTACGAGTTAGTATTTTGTGTTAGTAGTTTTTTTTTTCTTTTTGTCTTTTGTTTTTTTTTCTTTTTGTCTTTTGTTTTTTTGTCCCTTTCACCAGGCGATAACTGGTTATCATCTTTTCTCAATTCATAGTCTCTATCGACTATCTGGACGCATGATCTACAACTCATCTTATCTGGACACCACGTATGTACCTTAAATAAGCTGCTAGCAAAGTCACGGTCTGCTCCGTTTGCCTTTTTTTCGAGGGGATGGTTGGTACATGTATGTATAAGGCGAAAGCCACCAGTATCCTTACGTAACCCTATGTTAACTTCAGTGCCGCAATGCATGCACATCGCTTTTTTCTTTTCTGTGTCAAGATCTTGGAGCACTAAGCTTTGATGTTTTGTCTTCCAGGGATCACTCTTTAGCAGAATTTGTTCCAGCGAAAGATCGTCATCTTTAAGTCTTGGCAGAATAATAGCACAAGCCACACAACTATCTTTTTTAGGACACCAGGATGAGGGTGCGTCAAGTCTGGCATTTACTACTTTCGCTCCCTCTTGATTCAAGCTCGAAGCTGAGCACTTATGCGTTGCTAAAGAGCTTGTTTTCGTCTTATTAATAGGTATTTCTTTTTCACAGTGAACACACATAATCATGTGTGTTTCACAATTATAGGTTTGAAGGGCAATGGCCTGTTGACTTAAAGAATTAGGTAACTGTGCACCCGTAAGTATTCGCCCACATACACTTCGGTTAATGGCATTTCCCTGTTTATCGGCACTAGCAACGCGAATGTTAAGCAGAGCTGCTACAACCGCTTCGATATTTTCGCTACCATCTGAAGAGACTACTACGAGACGGTGAGGTACTCCTCGTTTTACTAAAGTGTGCATTGCAAAACCCAGAGTACGTTGGCTCGTTTGCTCCTTTCCATAATACCTTGTCCAGCGACAGGTGGGTGGTCTCTGTTCTGTTTGGCCAACATATAACCAACGGAAAACTTCAACGTTCTTTCGAAGTGACAGTTCGTTTGCAAGGTAGCTACGATACTGTGCTAAGATAAAACGACGAAAATCCTTGTAACGGTGACCTTTATGTGGATGATCATTGATATTCTCCTCAATTTCTTGGGAATAATGTTCTAGATCTTTGATTGGAATATCAAAGCTCCAAACATATGTTGCTGCTGAAGCAGTTGGTTCACTCCATTTACCCCAATTAGGAGGCAGAATAATAGAGTCATTTTTACGCACTAACTCCTTGATATCAAAAAATTGTGGATTAATTGTTTCATTATTTTCTGCGAGTGCAAAAAATATCTCATCCAATCCAGAATTTTCAATGCGCACTTTATCTAACAGCTCACAAATTTGCGATATACCACCTGTAATCGTACTTAAATGCTGATTAGTTTCCAACCATGAAAGAAATTCAGGTCGCTGAAAACTTTCAGTTTTAGGGAAAACCCTAGAAGAAGTTGTGGGAAGCTGTTTGTGTGTGTGTTTATGGGCAGGTATTGCACCCGCGCTCACAGCCACATCCTGACTAGTTTCAGTCGAATTAAGGCTAGACTTCATCAGAATCTACGAGGGATAAGACGAAGAAAACTTAAAACTTACGTAAATAGTTTGTGTGGTTTGAAAGGGTTCTAATGGGAGAAAAAATAAGAAAGTAGATGGTGTATTTTATGCTGAAATACGCGGGGTATTTATAGTGAAGAGAGACGTCAACACTTACCTGGTTTGAAATAGTAATCTGTTGGATATCATGTACTATGTTGTTATGTGATTTATTTTCATTGTGTTTCTTTGTTAACTTCGATGAATACTTTATCACATAGATGTATGATATCTCTTTCTATTATATCTTTTAATATCTTTCATCTAGGTATCTCCTATAGTGTATTATCTCTTATCTGGATTTCTTTATCCAGATAATATCTTCTCTGATATTCTGTATGACACCTAGATAATTATCCCCCTATATATACTCCGTATTTTTCATACATTATCACGGTAGTATTCTTCTTCTTTTTTATTATACAATATTATATTATGTTTTAGAAATAAACTTCAACCACCACCATCATCATCTACATCAATACCACCACCTACACCAGTCTTGAACCCCAAAAAAGCAGCAAAACCACCTCCACCACCACCTGCGTCAACACCAACAGCTTGGTTAGATCTAAATTATTTGCTTAACAATTAAATAGTACACAAAAAAAATTAGTCTACATGAATATTTTCATGTCATAAGTTTTCGGGATTATAAGAGGATGGATAATGAAAAGCGTATGTTCTTAACTAACCATGGCAGAAAAAAAAATAAAAACTTGCCCTCATCTACGTTTCAGTCTTCAGTCTTCAAGCTCCATACTGCAGTACCTCTACATCTTAACTACTGTCTAGACTTATCTTTTTATTACACATGTGCTTCTTCTTTTTCGGACTCATCATTTCTTATAAGTGGCCTGGGTCTTACCACTAATCTCTTCTATTACCCCCGTTTTCCTCTCCAACTTGCCATCAACTTGCCATCAACTTCCCTCAACTAGGTTCGACCCAGGCCGTTTATTATTATTTTACCAAGACAGCACTGCTAGTTTATACCAAGGCGAGCACTG